GGCCAGCTAGCCTAACCCACACACTCATGTCTCTAAAACTGCCATCCAGCCCTGCTTTCTCTTTCGCTGCCTCTCACACACAGGTGGGTGGACCCACTTATTCAACCCAGATCTTTCTTTTAGACATTATGAAATCATGCTCTTTTTTCTCCCTTTCTTCTTTTCTTCTCCTATACTCCCTGATGCTGAATGACATTCAACTCTGTTTCCTGCAACACTCTTTGCAGCTCTCTTCTATAAAGTAGAGCTTCAATTTTCTAATTTACTATGTGATCATTTTGACAGATTTCAAGAAGTTGAGAATCATGTCTTTTCACTCTTGCCACTAGGCTGAGGCTAGGTTGGTTGTCAGTGGTTACACAGGCCTATTTTCTATTATCTAGGTAACATTCAGGAAACACCCACAATTTGTTTGTAAAATGCCTCATTGCACAACCACAGAACAAATTGTGGCTTGCACTGACATTTCAAATGTGTGACAAATAAATATTTCTCTCATGGCTATGACCCTGCTGGGGAATGCAAGACACATTTCCACTGTGATTTAGTGTAAGTATAGTGCAGTATTATAAGGAATTTATAAATAAAAGTTCAAAGTAATTCATAAAGTGAAAAGTAATTAGCAGCAGTTGATGGTGTGTTGCAATTCAATAAGCCATTAAATCAACATACATCTCAAATCGGTTATATCCTGATGCAAATAACTAATTGCAGGGATTCTTCACAAATTAAGAGGAATATACACATTTCTAGTAGTTTCTCAGAACTGTGGGCTTTGTGTCAAGGTGGGTGACAAAGAGGTAGTTTGGGGCAAGATGTTCTCCCAGGGCACCTAGTTGTTGAAGTATGTGAACATAATCGGCCACTTTATTAAAGAAAAATACTGAAAAGTGATGAAGAGCAGTGGCAGGGAAAGAGGGAGAAAAAAGAGGAGGATGGTGGAAATGTAGAAATTGTAAACGGAAAGAGAGAATATGGCTTGAAAAGCAGAGAGGGTGCAATCGAGCCGACCTCTGGGAGTGCGAGTGCCTGCCTCCCTGGCTGCTTTGTCGTTTGAGCCAGGCGCTGCGTTTCGTGAGGAGCGCAAAAGTACACAAATCCTACAGAAGGAGTTTTTTTGGCAGGGCTCCGGCCTCCCACCCACGGCAGCCTCTTCAAGCCTCCTCCCATCCTCTATTCATCTGTGAGGGGCGGCTTACTCACCCAGCCCAACTCCACACATACAACAAACCTGGACCTCGATCCTACGGAGGAGGGCGGACACGCACTCATGCACACACAAACGGCTACTCAGCCTTTGTGGACATGATTGGATGACAGTTTTTGGCACAGATAAGATTCTGCCATAGCTGTTTCAGCAAGATTTGAAAACAGTGAATCTGATTTAAGACAACTGTGACAGAATGACATCTGTGTCATAGGAGGTTAAAATCAGATTGTGCATCCCCGTGCAAATGCTGTTACATGGGCATGCCCACACTCTGTCAGGTGGAACGAAGGCGTGTGGACTCATTCACTCTGTCAGTCTCATAATGAACACATTGCATCATTTTGCATTTATGAAACTGCATCCTCATTCACATGACATGACACTTAAATCGCTCGTTCTCTCAATCAAGTACTTTAGCATTCATCTACACACTCCATAGGGGTTCAGTTCTGTTCCTTTATAGAGTTAGTTGAAAATTGGCTTATTATTTACAGTATGCTATAAGTGAGATTGTACAAACATGAATGAAATGTAGAGAGGCCCTGCAACAAAAGACTAAAAGGATCAGTTTCAATTGAGATAATCCTGGAGAGCATTGGGGCAGACAGAGGGCTGTAGTCAGGGTGTGTGACGAGAGTAGGTGTGGTGTCTACTAGACTTTATCCCCATCTAACCCCCACTGTGACAGGAAGAGAGCTCTATAGATTCCGCTTGGGTTTTTTTTTTCATTAATGATCAAGGCTGATAAAGGTTTCAGGCTGAAGCATGTCTGTTTCGTATGTGCTGCTTTAAAATACTTCTTTTTTTTTTTACGGGGAAGTGCAGCTTTTCATTCAGTTCCTTTAGGCTTTATTGCCTCACACCTATACATTGACCTATTTAAAGCAGGCTTTGAGGAAACAGTATTTTCATTTCAAGGTTTTCACAAGTTATCTTGTTCCTGTATGTTCAACTTGTCTTTTTAGTCCACAACTGGGGACAGAAATGATTTGTGAAGAACTGTAATCAGTTTGTATACAAAGTGTATGCTTCTTTTAAATTAACTAATTAGCCCCAAGGCAATGTCTTTCACTTGATGGTGTTTGATCGCTTCATAGCAAAGTGCTATAATTCTACGATAATTCTACTAATCATTCTATTATAATATCTCTGACATGAAGATGGAACAATGCAATACTCATATCTGATAGATCAGACAGTACGGTATATTATCACCCTTTCATAGGGTTAGGGTTAACTGATTATGTCAATCAAGTTAAGTCAATTTCAAGATGGATTCATGGATGAGAGATGCCAGTGCTTGTTACTGCCATGTCAGTGTCAAGAGATGTGACTTACTTTCATACCGTATTACATTTTACAACTACTCAGGCAGCTTCTTGATAACAGAATCGCGAGGATGACATGTCAAAAGATCATAGCGATCTGAATCATGCACAGTAAATGAGCATATAGCATAAATTGCTGCTACCATAACAAGTAAAAAGCAAAATTGATATCAGTCTGTCAATCTGTTCCAGCTTTGTCATGCTTTCACTTGCTTCCCCCTCACTGTGTGGCTGTTGTGTAAAGGGGGAGGCTTTCACTCTGCGCACATCTGTTGCAACACACGCAGGAAAGTTTCTGGAAAGCACTGGACATCCCTTTTTTTCACTGTATGTTCTATTATAACAAGTTTGAGACTTGGAGCAATTTGCAACTTAAAATGGGAACACAGAGGAACCAGATTCTGCAAAAGGTCAGCCATCCTTTAGTCTGATTTTGGTGCTCAGTGGGTAGCCGAACAGCTCTTGCATGCTTTCAAATTTTGCCACAACACACAGAAAATATCTCATTTTGACTTTTTTACGATGCAAAATGGTAGTACAACAAAGGAAAAAAAAATACGAAAAGAAGAGAGAGTGAAAGAGACAGTTAGATGTTACTGACCTTTAAGAAGAGAAGTTTTGATTTCAGTTCCTCTGTCACGCAATCAGCCCCTGTCAGGAAACTCAACACTGTCTCAGCACTGGCAGACTTGTGAAAGTGAGAGCGGGTGAGATAGAGACTCAAATTTGCTCTGAAGGTGTGTCAGTGATTTGGAGGAGTGAAAAGGTACAGTTCCACGAAACGGTTATCTAAGAAACACAACAAAACAAAAACTGCTACACCCACCAGCCTCAGCCAACACCCCTCCCTCCCCTTAAACCAAAAGTATTTGGCAGCGTTCCATACAAGTCCACCTGTGCTTAGGGGAGGGGAGTGACACACACTCACACTCACTGGGCCAAGCCTAAAAACCTGCTTGTGAGTTTGGATGGGGTGGTATGGTTGAGGCTGGGAATAGAGAGAGATGAGCCTTGGTGCTGAGGCTGGAGGAGAGAGGGGGTGGAGGGTTGAAAGACTGCTGGTAAGCCTGACCAGGGCCTGAAGGTCTGGAGCCAGAGATGAGGCTGGAGAGCTGGGGCAAAGGCCAAGCCAGGAGCAAAGGCTGGAAGCACTGAGACTGGATTTGGTAATAAATAAACAAACAGTCTGAGGCTGATGTGCAGCTGGACAACTGCGCTGTGATCTCAAACAGGGTGGCGGGGGAAAAAAGTGGGGAAGAGGTTGTTACAGTATAACGCTGGGTTGAACCGGTGGGTGGGTCTTTGCCTGTGCCAAACAGGAGCAGGAGGGGTTCGTATCAGATATCAAACAAAAGACATATCAGGAGAGAAATGAAAAGATTTGAAGAAAGGTAGTGTGATAGAGAGTCTGTGACAGTATCTCTGTGTATTTGGGTGTGTGCTTCTGTGTACCAGCTCGTACCTGGCAAGACGTAGGAACCATTGTGCTGCACAGAAGCCCATAATGCAGTGTAATGAGAATATAATAAGAGGGTGTTATCAGTGATGTAAATGCTGCTGAAAGTCATGCTCACAGAGAATAATAGTAATAGTGACAATATGTACTGTATTCTTTAGCAGTGACTGTGAATAAGTCTTGGTTTATTTATTTCTGTTTTCAAATTGATTTATGGAAAATGACTGCTTGTGAAAAAAGAAACAAACCATCAAACAAATCATTTAAAACTTTCCCTTAATTACAATACACTTTGCTACAAGTGTCCCCCAGTATTCAGAAAGTATCAAATTGTCCCCCAGCAATAAAGTACTGATTTAGACTTTTTTTATTTTTTCATTATCTGCACAAAGTTTGGCACCAATCCAGCACAACAGTGAACCTTAACCACATTTAACGAGAACGCACTGACGTGAGAGAATCAGCGCTTGTTCGGGTCTTGGCCAGATGCTAGTTTTGTT